TCTACATACCTGATGCATCGTGAACACGTCGCTGAGGATCTGTTTTTTTTTAAATAGAAATTTGAAAACCGAACAAATAAATAAGTAAAATAATTAGAGGAATATTGGGGTATTTTTAACGAAATATTTCAACATATTTGGTCTTCTACATACCATACTGTAAAATGTCACAATACAATAAGATAAATTCAATAAATACGATGTACAATGTACAGTGTCAATATATTTGTTCTTCTACATACCTGATGCATCGTGAACACGTCGCTGAGGATCTGTTTTGATAGAAATTTGAAACAGAATAAATAAATAAGTATAATAATTTGAGGAATTTTAGGGTATTTTTAACAAAATATTTCAACATATTTGGTCTTCATATTTGGTCAGAAACACTGTAATATTGCCTTTGCTCAGCCTTAGCCTCGATTGTGTACAAATGTGTTCTTATCTTTTATTAAGGTCCATTGTATAGTAAGGAATGTACTAGCCTCCTTCGCAGCCGTTCTTAGGGTCGTCACGCAACGTTTCCTTGAGGGAAACGTTGCGTGACGACCCTAAGGACGGCTGCGAAGGAGGCTAGGAATGTACGTACTATGGAACAATACGAGTTGATTAAGATGCCACGGGTTTTGGTTGAATAGCTGAATATTATAACGTACAAACGAGACTAAGGCTGAGCAAAGTAGATAACTCGAAACTGGAATATTGTTTTATGTACGAAAATGAGAATTTTACACACTTAAAAAGTGCGGTATATAACGTGCGTATTGTTGTGCACTAGAAGAGGAAATGGTGGCTACTCACCAGAGTCATGGAGTCGTTGCTGAGGAAAATCCTCGTCGGTCACTCCTATAAATAAAATAAAGTCACCTTACATCAGACATTTTTTTAAATCAATGTTATCGTTTCTTTTATATAATTTCGCAGTTTAGTTTTTATAGTTTATGAGATTTTATTGTAATGCCCATTTGAAAACGCATGTTAATATTTGCGCAATATAAATGAACTAAGAGTCGGAATTCCCCCTATATAGCCTTGTAACCATCATGTCCACGGTTTGATGCCATTTTTTAACCATTTGTTTTCTGCACGCCCATTTACTGCGCGCGCTCTACGCTGTTTGCTTACGTTTTTGGGGTTTTTCAGTTATTTTGATTCTGCCCTGAATATGAATGTGCGCGTGCAGAAAATCAAACGACAAATAAATGATATTATTGGATGATATTTTAAAAATAGATCCTAAAAATAGCACCAAAGTGGGCACGGGGATTCCTTTTCTTAGTTCATATTCTCTTGTATTTGCGCAATATAAATATAATTTCCAATTTCCAAATAAAGGGTTTATGCTTCAAATAATACGAGAAGACACTCACCATGATCTTGGTCATCGAGGTAACGCGCTTCACAGTCTGAAAACGTGGTTCATAATCGTCAAAACTTTGGATAATTGGTCGTTATGTTTACCCATATACTGCCATTATCCCTAAGAATCCCACCCACCCGTTCATCAACTTGTAACGCTTGAAAAGATGCATTAATATTGGTGCTACTCATGCCTAACCAGGTGATCTCGGAAAGTGCGCAATGCATGATKTTCTGACTTGAAAAAGAATCAATCCCTAACATGACTGCGCGCCTAGAGTCCTGCACAAAACATTGCCGTGAAGGACGCCATTTTGTTTTGAGTTGGATTTGAATATGTATTCTCTTTAAAYGTACTGCGGAATATTAGTGAAAAGAAGTGGATACAGGAAAGTTTCATGTTATATTTTTGATAACAATAAGCCTTTTTCAGGTCATCTGGAAGGGAATGATGTGAACGAGCGAACGAGCGAACGAGCGAACGAGCGAACGAGCGAACGAGCGAACGAGCGAACGAGCGAACGAGCGAGCGAACGAGCGAACAAGCGAACAAGCGAACGAGCGAACGAGCGAACGA